CATGTCACATTTTTGCACAACCTCCGCGTTTGCACGGCGTTTTGCACGCCCGCGCAACTCAACTCTGAACGGAGCTAATGGCACGAGTTTGCAGTACAGGCGCTTGGGCTCGAGATAGCTCTCGAAGACGTCATCCTCGTCACCGGTGTAGACCGTACCACCTCTTGGGGCACGGCCGTTTGGACGGATGCACATCTCGATGCCAAATTCGGTTTGGATGTTCAATACGCCGGCGCAGGAGTGCAACTTGCTGCTGAGTTCTCGTGGAAGCATACGCAGGGCGCTATGGTCAATCATGGTCCCGTAAATCACCATCGTCGACCTCTTGCTGCGCTGAACACAAACGTGGCACGCCGTTCTTCGACTGACAGGCCTCTCAATGAGGAATGCAATCAGTCCATCTTCATCCGGCATATCCGGGCCAAACGCCGTCGTTGGCTGGGACTCAAACTCAAGGCGAATGGTCAACGCAACGACGAGGATGATGAGAGGGTCTCCGATTCGGACGACGAGTGCATGCCTGATGGTTTAGTATTGGAAAGCTCTCCAGAGCGCCCAGAGGTGCGTCGTAATTACTCAGACGCTTCTTCGCTCATTCGTTTCACCTCAGTTCTCGGACTGCCTGGATCCGATACTAGACCACATACTTGCGGTACGTCAGTTACGTGTGCACTGGTCTCATTCTCATAACCGGCGGGTAGAACTGCGACGCAGACATGGTCATCGCGAGCTACGAGGACTTGACATTGATGTCTCAGCCTAACGATCTTGCGTCCTTGCTCGAAGTTCATGGCGGCTACGGTGAGTGAAATTCAATGTAGTGACATCTTCCCCCGACTGACGTGTCTCTCAGGCACGCTGCGAAATCCCTCTGCGTGTAGGGCTGGAGCTGCGATTGGCCCGTCAGAGTGTGATTGTGGTGCCCAGAACCTGTCGTCTTTTGTGACCGTCAGTACACTAAGCTTCTGAGCGTGATTGTTGAGATTGATACGCTGGTACCTCTTCCAGTCTAATAGGAATGATGATTCAAGCTCTCAGCACGACAGTGGGCTGTCGGGGAGCACTATCCCTGATAGTGCAGGGCATGTTAATATAACGCGAGATAGCGCTGGTACACAGAGGTAACTTTTTCGAACGTTGCTCGTGACTTTCGCTCACTTATACAATCAGTTCCATTCATACTCGAAGAACATCTTTGCAAAAGCGCAACCACCGACGTGCAGCGAACGCGCCGTACCCACCACAGCCTCCGGATTCCTCGTCGTCGTCGGGGGTGACTCGTCGCCAAACCTCATCCTCGACCGCGCGTCGAAAGGCGCGTTTGGTCAGGACTGTGCAGCCTGACCCCGGCGCCGCTGTCTGCAAAGCCGACTGCGACCAACAATTGCACCGCAGTCTTGCTTTACAAGTGTCGCATTCGTTCACCGCGCCTGCCATACCGTACAACTCTCCTGAGGGCGCCTACGTGCAGTCTCCCGCGGATGTAGCGATTGTTGTCAGAGACCGTATTCCCGCCATTCGACAGCCTTTGCGAGCCTTGAATACCAATACCTGGTCATGATCCCACGTCAGCCGTACTACTGACTCGTGTCCCCCATCTTCATTCCCGCTCATGCAGTCAGCATTTTCCTCCATGCGTAGCTCTCATTCGTGTACCTTATGTATCCGATGAACTCCCATTCGTGGCAATCATTTCTACCAACATCGAACTCAGCCTCACGCGGGTTGCAAGTTCAATCGAAAGACGCGAACATATTTTTCGTGAGACAATGTGGGACTTGGCTGGCGCTGGCGCTCCCTGATTACCGACCTTGTTTCCTTCTCTTGAACCCACTCATAGTGCAGGGGTCAAGCATATGTCACCCTTGCCGAGCGGGCTTGAATAGAGCCTGACACATAGCGACGAGCCTCGTCATTGCTGCTTCACAGAGTAACATCCTTTTATCGTACATTACTTTCACATCCATCGCTTCAAGCCTCCTGCCCACGAAGCTCCGTTGTTCAATGACCCAAGATTGCACTAATTAGCACCTTGACTCCCACAGCACCAGGATCGGGCACATCCAGCTCTCCACCAACATAGGCCGCACGTCCGGCCTTGGCCTTGAGCTTAATCGTGTCATCAGCGGCGTTCGAGGCCGCCTTTGCCGCAGTGTTCCAATCAAACCCGGACGAGAGAGCTTCTATGAACGCTGCGAGAGGATCGACGAGCGTGCGCGAAGGGCGACGAGCACGGGTGTAGGTGTACAGCGTGTCAAGTGCGCTTTTGAGGGCTGACGCCCAGACATCAGGTGTGACTTCTTTAGCCTGCACAACCGAGTTAGCCTCGCTGAAACGATAGACAGTCAGTATTCACCTGGGAAGAAGCGACGCCCTGCGCGAGAGCGGAAAAGAAGATCGAGTACAGAGCACCGCTCGTGCCACCCATACGTTCAGCTGCGACGCCAGCAATAGCGCGCAAACTACCGAGTACGTCATCGCCAGTCACTTTCGAGGGCTGAAGAGCGAGCACGCCCTCGGCACCGGTTTTGAGCGTCAGCCCGCAGTCGCCATCGCCAGCGACGGTGTCATAGCGCGTGAGTTCGGGCTCAGCGGCACGGATCGCTTCGCAGGCGCGCTTGACGGCCGCATCGAAAGCTGTAGGGTCTTGCGCGCGGATGGAGGTTCCTGAAGCGGAAGCTGAAGAAGTTGCAGTAGGCGCTATATAGATGTGTTAGTCCTCCGACGATTAGCATCGTGAGGGCCATCGGCGTACCGGATGTGAAGTCCGTCGAAGCAGGCGCGCGCGAGCTAAACGGCCAGCCCGGCGCGGCAGTGGGGGCATCGAGCAAGCGGAGGACTGTATCCTTGGTCTTCGGCTCAAGAAGCAGCAGGGTGATACTGTATCCTGGCATGGAGAGCGATGTCTACATGTACAATCGGATACTTAGCATTGAGAGAGAGCACGAGAGAAGGTGCGAGTCTCACCATGTATGTTCCCTTGAGCGCGCGCTCGACCTTGATTCCGCGAGCCGCGAGCTGAGCGGTCGTCTCGTGCACAATAGCACCAAGTTCGAGCTCGCTCGTGCCGCCGAGGTTGTTAACCACTAGTACGAGTTCGTCCTTGCCAGAGCCCTGTATTAGTGCGTCAGGTTAGCATCGTTTACTCGTCTCCGGCGCAAGCCGCACAGACCTGTAGTTGGTCGCCGAGCCATCCGCGTTCAGAGTCGTCCTTCGATGTCGACAGAGTAAGGTCGAGCAATCTCTTCGTCAAGTCCTTCAGACTTGGGACAGGCGACAACCTGGCTGCACCAGACTCGTTGTGGATGCCCATGCCGATCTCAACTTCGCTGTCCTTGAGGTGCGACTCAGATGAGGTAGCAGTACCGGGAACATGCGTATGCTCGAGACCGACGCCGACAGTAGCGAGACGCGACGCAGCAGACGATGCAAGGTCGTATACTTCGCTGATTGACGCGCCGGTCGATGCGTATGCGCCAGCAAGCTTGTACACTAGCACTGTACCTGCGAGACCGCTACAGGCACCCAACAGGAAGTAAAGTTCGGTCAGCTGCCAGAGAAGGAAGGTCATGAGTGCTATGAAATACGCACCGGCGGCCGACGATGGCGCCCTGCGTGCGTCCGACTGCGACGTCGTCGCCCACGACGAGGAAACGTACGCTGTCCTTCCTGTCCGGGTGCGCTGCAGCAAACTGCTCTTTGGCGAGGCCGAAGTTGAGAACGTCGCCAGTGTAATTCTTCACGATGACGAGTGTCCTGCGCAGAAGTGATAGAGTAAGCACGGGGGAAGAAGTAAATCATTGGCATTACATACCCGGCGTCATTGTGCGTGCGCTCGATGGCGCTCAGCACTTGGGCAGAACCGGGCGAGGCGAAGACGCTACCGCATACCGCAGCTATACACAAGTCGTGAGTTTAGTAGACCGGATACTTCGTCGAACAGTAGACGCACCAGTGAGCATGCCATCACCTGTAGCGCATCATCAGCACAAGTTGTCATGGTGGTAAGAGGCAACATGGCGTGCGCACCGACGAACGCGGCATGCGCGGGCTCATGGCCGGAGCCTCCGCCACAGATCAGCGCGACTTTGGATCGGTCTTGCGAGGCTTGGTAGACGACTGTTGGGATCAGATCAGCTATCGTCGTGGCCTCATGCGCCCATGGGGTGGACATGCCTCTGTTCTGCTCGTCGAGCGCGAGCGCCGGGTCAAGCGTACAAAGCCCATGCAAGCTCTCGAGTACGAGGTTGTCAGGATCGTTCACGAAGTGTTTCGCTAGACCGTTCACAGGCGCGTAAGCTCATCGCGCTCGAGACTCAGACAACATGTTAGAGCGTACATTGTATAGCCATGGTTATGACGTTCAGAGGATGTCTCCAGAGATATGATCTGCGCGGACCCGCCCCTAAGTACTACTACAGCGTGGGAATCCGGCCCTTAATTGATCTGGGACCTCGGAGTCGGGACGGTGTCCGCGACTCGCTCTGGGTGGGTAGCGGGTCTACAGTTTATACTCAGTATGAACCTGACCCCGGACCCAGCTGGATTGAATACGCTGACAGCTATCAAGCTGCGAGTCTCGTGACGCAGTCGCACATCGCTCTCATAGCACTCCCGCCCCGCGTATACCCTTTGTGCTCTCACTGGCAGCTCAACTCGCGTAGCGTTGGGACTGGGTCAATCCTGGGCCACAGGCCCTCGAAGCGGAGAGGTCGATCGGAGACCGGGCCGAACTCCATTGATCCGTCCGTCCTCGTTGCCCTGGCGTGCCGCGAGCACCGACTCTGCGGGGTCCTGAGTCTCGAGTTGGTGGCGACAACTGGGCCTTCGCAGCTCAGCGCTTAGCGGTCAGCAAGGCCTATCAGCAAGGCCAATACATGACGCTACAGCAGCATGTACCGGGCATGTAGCGCTTCAATCACTGTCAAATGCGCTCGCGGGCTTGATCTCCAACCACCATCATCATCGATTCAACATCTTTGTGAACGCTCGGACGAAGATACGCTATGCAACAGAACCAGCGTGTCCCACAGGGCGCCTCCTTCACGTCTATTCCTGACGATGTCATATACGGCATATACTCTGTACTGGCAGAGATTGATCCTCCTCTACCCTGCGGTAAACAGTCACAAATCGCCCGCTTCAAACAGCAGCAGGCATCTTTGGGCTGGATCAAGCTCACGCACGTCAATCTTCGTCTCCGGGTCGTCGCCCTTGAGATGTCGAAGCTATGGGCCCGTATAGTCTGCACTTTTCCGGCTGGCTGCAAGACTATACTCGAACGCGCAAGAGATGCGCCTCTCACTCTGGATCCGACATTCGGCTCGATTATCGAGTACCTTAGGATCCTGCCTGCATATGAGGTCCTACCTCGTGCTTTTCACATTAATGATGCACACTACGGGCTGGACCTCATTAATCGACTGTGGTGGAAGAACACGACGTTGCAGTCGCTGAAGTCATTGCGTCTCGACTACGCCGATCCCACAATTCGCTTTCATAAATTCGAGAGCATAGCTACGCTCGGCTACATAGTGGCCCCAAACATGATCACCTATGAAGCTGCTTGGGGTTTTATCCCATTTCAAGCACCGTTGCTTCGCTCGCTCTCGATTTCCGGCCGCTTTATTGCCTGGAAGATATTGATCGATTCGCTTCGGTCCTGCCCTCTACTCACAGAGCTCATCATACTTGATGTCCGAAACTCATCTCTGGATGATCCTACAGGAGACGATCGTGTTATCCTCTCACATCTTGAGACACTCACGATATGCTCGCCGTGGGATTCGACCATTATCGTCCGTTTCCTTGGTTGGCTTGTGTTCCCGAGCTCGGCCGATGTACAGTTCGGGAAATGCTCTTCGACTAGCACTTTCCGGGACCTTTTGCAGTACCATCGGTCGCCTCTCCGAAGCACGACACTTAGTATCTCGGAAACAACCGATGGTATCCGCACCATAGACGCGGGTGATCGCATCCTGGAGATATCGGTGTCCGATCGTACATATCGAGAGTATTCGGAGTATCGCACGAGGCTTGCGGGCACAGTCGAGTACCGACAGAAATACTTATACGGATCTGTCGACGAGTCGACCGAGATCGCGAACCGTGAACGGCTAGCGCGCATTCTCACTGAGTCCTTCACTCCCTCGACCGCCGCTGCCGTTCAGACACTGGCATTTTACGGTGGCCCTCCTGCTCGTACGAGAAGTGAGGGCATACAGCCTGTAGAGCCGCTTCTTAGTCCAGGTGTCCTCAAGGCTCTGCGCCGCCCTCTTCTCGACTTTCGAGGCATCACGACAATATATACCCCGGGACCATCCGCTCGGCTGTATGTCCTTCTTGAGGCCTCCTCCTCAACATCACACACAGAGCCTCTGTTCCCCTCATTGAAGACTATCATCTTGGACATACGCATACGGATAGCGGTGTCCTCCTGGAACCGCTTCATCGACATCATCGCATATCTCAAAGCGGAAGGACGTCCGCTTGACCGTCTAGTGGTCATGGGCTCACACCTGTGTCACATATACACTGGCGATACAAGAGTCGATGTAGACTTAGAGCGCGCCAGGTCGAACGTCGGCGAGGTCCTCGACTTGCGCGATGGAGGGTGCGCGTGCGATACAGCGGAAGCTTGACATTGTACTTGGTCTCGAGCCACGCCGCCGCGCAACCGCCGCGGGCCACGAGCACAAGCGCCTGGCGGGCCGATGCTCGCGAACCGTCGGATCAACGGCATCTTCCGATTTTGATGGGAGCAATGCTCCCGCGGCATCGGCGGCCCGGCTCCTGGCGGGGAGCTCGGCATTACCTTTCGTCTGTCGTTGTCGTACAGCGTCGTACCTAGCAGTAGCTCGATATGAATGCAACTTCGTTTGAGCATAGATCCGATGTGCACACTCGCAAACGCTCAAGCCGGAAAGTCCAGATCAAACTTAGGAGTGAAGCATACATCAGAGGGCCCGAGCAGGTATCATCGACGTATTCACATTTCTACTACACAATACTTATACAGAACTATCGTACCAAGAAAACCAAAACAATGTCCTTTCCACAACCCCAACCCTATGTACAACCACCCCAAGCCTCCGACATCCATCACGCCCCTCACAAATGCCTCCCAAGCGAGCTCAAACTATCCTGACTATCCGGCGGCGGCGTCGCGATCCCACTCCCACCCTCCCCCGCAAAATCCTCATTCTGATACCACACCACCTCATCCTCGCGCTCAAGCAACGCCAGAATATCCTCATCCTTCTCCTTGCCCCTACCAGTACTCTGCCCGCCAGAGCCATAACCC